ATTATTGCTGCTGGCCCTTGGTTGTTGACTGTTATTCGGCGCTATATATATATTTATATAACTCAGGTGACCTCAATACGACCCTCCCTACGTTCATGGGGCTATTAGGTTTAAATTACTAGTACTTACATTGGGAAGGACTTATACACTTTTCGATGTATGTAGAAGGACTCTGCTTGCTACAAGTGTGCCTCTCCTCAACGTCCATAAACCAAGGTAGCTATAGGTACTCGACCGAAGCTAGGCATTGGCTTCAACCTCTTAGTTAGTAAAGTAAAGCGACGGTCACAACTCGCCGTGCGTGCTTTTTGTCCGTACGTTTTTGTCGTGGCTACGTCTGCTACGTTTTTTTCTGCAAACGTAGGGTGGCCGGCCGAGGGAGTACGTCACTCGCACGGTTGCGCAAGGTGTACGTACGTGGCCTGCACGACACGCCTGGCCGTCAGCGGTTGCGTGCATCGTACGTTGCGCAAGTGGTAAGTGAGTTGTACGTGCTTACAACGCACGATCTCTGTGCGATTGCTACGTTGCCGCGTACAGGCCGTACCTACACGTGCGGCGTACGCACGGTTTCCTTACTCACTCGCACGTTGTAAGTGCGTGCACCTCCTGTTAACTTCATCATCACTAGCCACCCTGGTGTCTTCCGCGGCCCGTTTCTTTGGGTCTTGTCTGGTAGTCTTCTTCTGAGCCTTCCTGGGCATCTTGGAGACGAGTTGGCAGACGCCGGTCAAGTCGTCTTTATATACTGTACAAATCAGGTGCGTTGCACGTGCGTTGCACGTGCGGAGCACCTGGTATGGTGCACGTGTGATCTGCGTGGTCATTGAGCAGGTCAACTGGGAAGTGAGGAGTAACCACGGATGACGCAAGCACCGTGCGTGGCACGCACGTGCTTCGTGCGCCGTCCGTACAGCAATTGCACGTGAGAATAGTAAAGTTAGACTCACGGAGTCCGTACGTTGCACGCTCATAGGCTGTACGGGGCACGCGCGTCGAACGTACTGGCACGCACGGGTGGTAAATCCGCAGACCGCACGTAGAAAAAGTATTACACTTAAAGTTCTACGGCGTGTCTGCGTGCTCCCAAATCCGTAGGATTCCGTACGGAGGTGGTACTCACCACAAACGGATGCCGTACGATTGCCCACGTTTTTGCACGTAGGCAGCACGCAGAAGCACGTACGGCGAGTTGTGACCGTCGCTTAAGGAAGGTCGTGCTAAGTGTATTTTACAAGGGCACAACGTCGGGGCATGTCAGAAAATTCGAACCCAGTGAGTACCTCTGGATTCTGGGCCAAGCACTATAACCACTACGCCACACTTCACCACTTGCATTAGTATGCAAGTGGTGAAGATTAGGTCACGGTAATTAAATTGCCTCAAGGTGTGACACAACTGTAAGTTCAACTGCAACAATGGGTGAGTTGTAATGCTTTTGTACTCACCAGGTGCCAGTTCTGGTATCGGCAAGGGGACAGCTGTGGAATTTGCCCAGCTGGGAGCGCACCTGGCTCTGACTGGGAGAAACCAGAAAAATCTGCAGGCCACGGCAAAGGCCTGTGTGGAGGCAGGGACTCCACAGGACAAGGTGTGTATCGTCATTACTTTTGAAAACAGAGGTATTGTTTTCAGTTTGTATTTGTCTGTTTGTTGGTGTTCCCTAATTAAATTTTTCGCTGTTAGTCACGTTTACAGCAGTGATAGAAAATAAAGTTCAGAGTTGGTAGAACTAGTAATTTATCAATCATACGACAAGTGCATTCTGGGTCATAGGGGTGAATGGACGAGCCTACTAATTCACAGAGGGGTATTTTTATCCACAGGACTTAGGTGTTTGTTAACCGTCATCACTTCTGTAAACAGAGGTATTGTTTTCAGTTCGTATGTTTTTATTTTATTTCCAAAGTATATGGCTCGCTGTGTTAGTTGTGTTAGCCAAAAGTAAATTGTCAGGAAGTTCAGAGTTGAAAGAATTAGTAATTTATCACACGGTGGTAAAATCTGGGCTGAAAAGTTCCCACATGTCATAGAACCCGAACTGTGTTCGATCGTGTTCGATCTGGGGAATTCGAATCGAACCCGCGTTCTATTTCGGGGTCACCTGCGGTCATTTACTATAAAGCGGCAAAACAAGCCTTTCTGCCTCCGTGCATTGCAACAGATAAAAAACAACACTTTTCTATAGATACAAACAGTTTCCTGGACAGTACATGTCCGCTATTATTTTTGGTGGGTATGTAACATGTAGCGAAGCTACTGTCGTATCCTTGAGTGACCTTGAATACTGTAATGATTCTTTACACCAGTATGAATAACACAATGCACACTTTCTGGCGATATGACATGTCTCCAAAACTCGTTCAAACCTGGAAACATGGAGAGTCAAACATACCCCATTTACGGCTCAAAATGACTGTAACGGTTGTCCCGAAAATCGTGTTTTAGGGATTTTTGAAAAATGGCCTCAATTTTGAATTATGGGTAATTTAGTGAGAAAAATAGTCAAAAAATAGCCATTTTTTCTACCAATATGTCGACAAAAACTAGACTTAAAATCAGAAATTAAAAATCCCTAAACACGATTTTTTTGCTTATTCCTAGTCTGCGAAAAATATAAAAATCGGGGATCTGGGGTAATATACGTAGCCAGGTTTGAACGATATTTGCCTAAAAACGTGACATGACATGTGCTCGGAAACCCGAAAATGATCGTCTTTCTGAGCGAAATTTTAAAAAATCATTGATTTAACATAAAAAGCTAACATTTAAAGGATGTTAAGACGATAATTTTATTTTAATTTGACGAAATTTACCCCTAAATATTATTTGTGTATTTTCAAATATTTTACGGGTAGTCCAAAACAGGCCAAAATAGCGTCTTGTAACCCGATACCTTTTAGAACGCGCATAGCAATGGGAAAGAATGCCGTAGTGACAGACCGCCGTGTCACGTGAAAGACAGTCCAGGTCATCAGGTCAATGGACGATTCCACTCATTCATGGGGAGGTTTTGTATTTGGCCTTCAGTGTTATACTGGTCACGTTCACCGTAGAGTGACAGAATATGATCAAAGAAAAACTACCGTGGTTGGTACAGCGTATTTTAACACTGTTTAAGTATAAAATTTATGGATTATATTATGAATAAAAGTACTCGTAGTAGTAAATATACGTGAGTGTTGTGCTTTATCAGTGGTGCAATACGTTGTGCGTGTCGAACACTGTAGAAAAACTTTTTTTCATAACTGCTTGAATAAATTAAGTCTGAAATTGTGATTGCATTTAAAAAAAATCCAACTTGTTACCTCCATGAAATGTGTCATGGAGGTTATATTTTCAGTTGCGTTTATCTGTCCGTCCGTCTGTCCGTCTGTCCGTCTATTGGTCAACAAGATAACTCAAAAACGCCTGGATGGATTGGTTTCATACTTGGTGTGTTGGTAGGGTGTGACGGAAACTGGAAATGATTAGATTTTGGTCCCCCTAGTGGCTTCCCTTGGTACTGCAGCGCAACTCCCGGTTTTGATATCTCGCGATCTGGACATGCTAGGGTCATGAAATTTTGATGGAAGGTAGCTCTCGTGCTTGGGAACTGCAGGGCACTTTCTGGCGAAATGTTTAAAAGCCAATAAGTCCAGACAGGAACAACAAATTTTCATTATTTTTGGTGTGTAGGTAGCTGAGAGAAAGATGTACATAATTAAATGCAAATTATGCAAATGATGACTTTATTTGCATAATTAATGAGGAAATTCTATAATTACAGTGTTTTACATTATGCTACTTACATACATGTAATGTATGTAACCTATGGCAGGCGGACCTTCAACACATACTAATTATGCAAATGATGACCTAATTTGCATAATTAATGCGAATATTCTATGATTTTGTAATGGTGAATGATGAGAATGTCTTCATTATTTTTGGTGTGTAGGTAGCTGAGAGAGAGATGTACATAATTAAATGCAAATTATGCAAATGAGGACTTTATTTGCATAATTAATGAGGAAATTCTATAATTACAGTGTTTTACATTCTACTACTTACATACATGTAATGTCTATAACCTATGGCAGGCGGAACTTCAACAGATACTAATTATGCAAATGATGACCTAATTTGCATAATTAATGCGGAAATTCTATCTTGAAAGTTCATCTGTGTTCGTAGAAGTCATTATGAAGTAAGTTTAAACTGTAATTTCCAACACAACAAAAATTGGACTCACCCAAATTTTTGACTGTACAACTCCAGTCTTTTTCAAGGAATGAGCAATCCACCGCTTCCGTGACGTCACGCAGATAACACACGTGATTCCGTGAGCAGTGGATCATAGGTTGCAGAAAGTCTGTGGCGCCCCCCGTCTCTGTTGAGGGATGGCTGTAAAGCCCTGATGTAGATGGCCTCTTTAATCCCTCGTGCAAAAAATTCCGGTTCTGTGTCCAAGATTTTAACTTTGTCCAGTGAGACTGAATGTCCAGGGGATTCTATATGTATATGTTGTGAAACCTCAGAGGTAGTTGAGCTAGGTCGTTTGTGTTCTAGGAACCTGGCCTTGAGCGATCTTTCAGTCTCTCCGATATAGGTTTCCTTACATGGGCCCTTGGAATTCTTTTCTTGACACTGTATGTGGTACACCACCCCACATTTGCTTTCTTTTGGTGTTTTGTCCTTTGGTGAAACCAGTATGTTCCGGAGGGTTCTGGTTGGTTTAAAACAGGTCTTAATCCCGTATGTAGCAAAGATCCTCCTGAGCCCTTCACTCAGGCCTTTTCTGTAGGGCAGGACAACTAGGCCTCTATTCGGGCTCTAATGTTCTTACTCTGGTACTGGTTACCGACTGTGGGTTTTGGACTATTGGCCTTATCTAAGTTCTATGATTTCATAATGGTGAATGATGAGAATGTCATACTTGGGACATCTGTAAGTTAATCAAAATTTAACATACATCACGATGCATATATCATGTTAATGCAGAGGTCATTTGCACTGTTAAAGAAGAAACATACATTTACATATCAAGATCGTATTTCATGGAGGTATGAGATCTCGGAAATCTAGTTTTCTTTTCATTTCGTTTTAGATTTTGCTCGTGACAGGGGACATCTGCAATGACGAACTAAGAAAAAACCTGGTGAATCAAACAGCACAGAAGTTTGGCAGGGTCGATGTCCTGGTAAATAATATTACTGTAACATTATATCCTTTGATATGAACACATAATCATTTCTTACTTATATTTCATATATGCTTTGCTAAAAACTAAAAGTGCACCATCTACATAATTTATACATAGTTGCAATGACCATAGTACATACACAAGTTTCCATACTGTACTTTAGGTTTTGATGCACATGTTTATCACGATGATGAATTGAACGTAACCTCAGGACTTACCTTATATTATCATTATGCTTATAAAATATCCACGAGTGCATGTAGCGTCATTTTTGCGTGAGGTCAAATGTAAAGACATCTCACTTGTAAACAGATATTGTGTATAACATTTTACACCTTGTCAATACTTAAATTATGTCTAAGGGCCTGCAACTTTGTCGATCGTTCTACCCACAATGTACCACACTGCACACACATGCAGAACATATACCATGTGCCAGCTTATCCATGCATTTATATATTTTCGTTTAATTTTTACGGGTAAACAATGCCGGTATAGCGTCGTTTGACACTTTAGAGACAACGAATATGGCGGACTATGACAGGACCATGGACGTCAACGTTCGCAGTGTGGTCAGACTGACTCAGCTGTGCGTTCCACATCTCTCAATGACTAAAGGTTTCTAAGCCAGATTCGTTTAGCATAAAATTTAGTAGTCTCCGCAAGACGCCTCTGCAGGCTGGACAAATAGTAGAAATCGGTCAAAAAGGAAATTCAGATGTAAATAGCCAGGGGAGTTAGCCAGCTATAGGGGGGCAGTTTGCCTTGAAAGCTAACTCAGGTGGCCAGTTACAGAAGGCCGATTTCTGTCATTTCTTTAGCATGCAAAGGCGTCTGGCTAAGACATTCAGTTGGTTGTATAGTTTAACTCTCAAACACCCGAACTTTTTTTGTGACGTTAATGCCCGAACGGGGTCCAAATGGACCCCATTTGGTTTCATTCAAATTTTTATTCCTTTTTGCATTCTTTCAGTGATCTTTGCACATATATTGGTTAAACATAGTAAGAGGTATTATTTTGCATGATTAAATGTTTAAAAATTCCAGCTAATTATCATAATTGATGCAAAAATAGGATGAGGCCTGCAGGCATGAACATGGGCTTGACCTTTGACCTCATATGATTGTCAAATTGTCAAACCTATAAAAACCTGATGAAATAATTCATAAGGTTGGGGTTACTTGGCAAACTGCATAATATTAAAGCAATAATGCTTCCTTGAAGACATATTGAGGACATCCGAACAATTTTGTGTGTAGGAAAGTGCAAATACATGACTGGGGTCCGTTTGGACCCCAGACGGTCTTACACAAGACTTCCGTTGTTATTTTTACAAATTTGTGCCGATCTCCAAAAAAATTTAGGAGAACTTGTAGAAGAGGTTTATTGACAAAGTCACGGGAGGAATTTTTTTTTCGAATGAAAACAATTCAAATAGCACATGAAAAAATATGCCTGGGGTCCAAATGGACCCCGTTCGGGTGTTTGAGGGTTAACGTAGTCTTGGTATTTATGTAAGATTGTATGTAATAACTTCAAATGTAACTTTTACATGATTGCTTACAACGTCTAAGACTAAATCGATTGTTTTTTTTAACTCCCAGGTGCCGTTGTAAATGTTTCTAGCCTTGCTGGGATTCGGGCGGTAAGTTTCTCTCTGTAAAGCCACGAATTGAACAAACTCAAGTCATTCGTACATGACTTCACGTGGTAGATAAGTTATTGAATAGTCAAGTTTTTTTTTTCTTTACAACCATTTAGTTTAAGGCCTTTTATTTTAATTTTGTTTATTTTGTAATGCTTCGCTTTTGAACCGGCTCATTTGGATTTAGTTTTCAGACCATCTTGCAAATTGCATGAGCAAGGCAGCATTGGACCAGTTCACAAGATGCGTGGCACTTGGTCAGCAAAATCATACTGTTATCAGTTGATATGATGGTATTTGTAAAGTTTTTCTGACTTATGGTAAAGAGTTACATTAAATGCAGTATCATTATGTTATTAATATTGATTTTTGTACTTGTTTCTTAATTTAAAACTGAAAAAAAGCCTGCTAGGAGCTATATTTAGTTGAGAATATGATATGCATACTGGAGAAGTAAAGGGGCACAAATAATTTCCTTGTCTCTGAAGTCTAAAATTACTTTCAATTTTTCAGAATTAGCCCCCAAGCAAGTCAGAGATAATTCTGTTAAGTAAGTTTTTTTTTTCATTTCTGTAATACGTTCGTCTTTTGATTAATTAATAAGCCCCGAGGACAGAAAACACTTAAGCTCCTGTTCCTTATAACAGGAGCTTTCAGACTAATTTGCATCATCTTGTCTTGACTTTTGTTCCTTTTTCGACTTCCAAAAATTTGTCTTCACTTTATTTGCATATCAATCAATAGGTTGTGCTTATAAACCTGCATTTCCCCTCTGGTCTCTCAGTCACTGACGAAAGCTAGTGGATACTAGCTGAAACGTCTGACGTTTTCAAAATCATATCCAGTTGCTTGAGTAACTGCTTTTTGGCGTGGGGTAATATATGTAAAAGTTATATTTTCTAAAAATCTCGAAGCAATATGAAAGTAACCGGGGTGCCATTTTATACTGTTATCCTAGGCTCAAATACTCGCCCACTCTTTTATATGATCAACATCGATATTGCAAATAAGCCATTCTCTTTTTTTAGTAATTTTACCTGGATCCCACTCTATCAGGGTGGCAATAAACTGAAAAGTATGGCTTAGCTGCAATATAAATTGTTAGTCACATAATGCTACATTTCATAATAAAATAATATCACCCGTTGTAAGTATGATTTTGTCAGAAAGCCCTCTAGTGTCAACTAAGTTCATCAGTCAAGTTTGTATTTAAAAAGCCATATCTAAATTTTGCAAATAAAAAATATGATGCTTTTTATTGTCCCAAAATTTTACTTCACTTAATCTCTTATATGACTTTCAATGGATTTTATGACATACTTGTTTCTTAACTTCCAGCCCTGGTTTGATCCAGAAAGAGATGCTGAGACGCTTCGGGTTGAATAAAGAGGAATATGCCAAGGTATAAGAGCTCCCATCCGTTGATAATCAGCATAGTTTTTTTTGCAAAATTCCACTTGTATGATATATATCTTAGACCTATATTAGTATCATTACCACCACAACTCAATTGTACTCATTTGATTCATTTTTTTATTGCAATCTGTGATTGTTTAGGTGGTATATAGAGATTTTTAAAAGCAATACGATTGTTTTTTTTTTCTGCACGCCAACCTACTGGATGGGTAATTTACCATATACCGTGAAGCATGCATTAGGTACTTTCAAAAATCATTACCTGCTGAAAAAGAACACTACTCCGACTTTAGTTCTTCTTAACAATGAATAAAAATGAGTTAGTTTAACATGATTTATGATCGAAAAGATGCATTACCATTATTTTTCATCTGTTTTTTGGAACATTCCAAGATGATACAGGGAAGGGTCGGAGAAGTTTCGGAAGTAGCGAAGACCATCGCCTTCCTGGCCTCGCCAGACGCGTCCTTCATAACCGGCGCACTGGTCCCCTTGGACGGGGGAAGGCACCTCATGTGCCCGCGTTGACCCTATCTAGACGGGGGGGGGGGGCTAAAAGTGCCCGCGCCAACTTTGATGTCACATAGCGTCTGAACGGCTAGCGCTGGTGACTTTTCCTACAATATTGTTGGCAACAACGCTGTAACATTGGAATAAGATAATATTTTTGTATTGCCATGGCAACGGGTTTCTGACAGTCATATGTTACTAAATTTGGTAATTCTCGTTTCAACAATAGAATTTTATTGGTTTTAGGTTAAGTTACACATGGTTTCTAATATTGATAACATCCCATATAATTATGACTTCACCACCTAGTGATGACGTTATA